ATCTTGTGTCATTAATATATGTTATCGTGTTGGAAAATACTGCTAGAAATACTTATCCACTTACGGTTTTATCGAATATGTCTTTCGTCTTACCTTCTGTTTCGAAAAGGCCATGTGTAAGAAAAAACATAAAACTATCCCTCCAAATATAAAGTAATAATTTAAAGTGCGACGTAATGAATGACATTAACAAATATGTAAATCATTGTTGAATTTTACACAAATGGCTACTAACTACAAAATAATATCACTGACCCTTGACTAATAGAAAAACTATCTAAAACGTAATATCAAAATTAATAACTGAAGATGATATCAATGACTAGATGGTATCAATATGAAGAATGTTTAAAGCACTAATAACAACCAGTTAAACAAACTGCCAAAAGTAGAACGTAAGTTTGTACCAGCATTCGGTTGTTTTTAATTCAGTTGAAGTCACATTTCACTGCACTGATGACCGTCACACTATTAAAAATGGAAAATATATGCAATGCGAAGAGGAAATCCATCGAAGTCACACAAACAAAACACCTTCAGTCTTTCCGTCCAAATATCCCGACAGTAAAGACCCGTCAGTGTGCCCGTCGTCGTCAGCTGTTATGGTCGGAAAAGCATTTCTCTGTTGAATCCTATGAGTCCGTCTGCGCCGCCGACCACCAGAGGCCCGAAGCGCGACCAGCCGTCGGTCCACTTACATGCTGACTGTCGTATTGACTATGACAGGGCTCAGTGTGTGTCACGCCCTTTTATCGCCTGCCTCCGCTCCCTTCCCACCCACAAACGACCACCCTCGCCACGCCCATGAACAGACACGTGTCCATGATGCGTGTCATGATGAAGATAGGTCAAGTTAGGTTACGGCAGCGCTCATTTTTTGCTCTTACAAGATGTCCTTATAATAACACTTAATGCAGTCACATTCTTGTATCTACGATAGTTTAGTCTTGTTTGTGATTTCATTTCCTTTTGTTATGCAGTCCTCATATGCTTATAGGCCTACCACATGGAGTCTCAACCACTTTCACTCATTGACTGACTGACTCAGTTACTCAGGTAACTCGCTTAATTTATTTAATTAGTCATACGCTCACACTCAAATGGACGGAATTATATGGATAGATAGCTGTTAATCGAATATATAAATAAGAATACTCTTAATTAGTTATAACAAAAGGGAGAGGCGAAATAATGGACGGGCGATCGGTCAGAGCAGCTTCTCCGGAGGGACAGCGAATTCGACCACAAAATTTCCCATGGCTTGGTTGAAAAGCACCTCTTAGGACTAGGAAATTATCTTCTCAAATTATAACGCTTTTTAAAATCGATTCGACAACACGTTGGTTCACATAAAGTGTTATGTAAGCAGTTAAGGAAGTTATACGACGTATACATTTTAGTATGAGAAGCTGATTTAAAAATTGCTTTATATTACTGAAATAACGTGAATCTACACCTTAATAATACTTGATGATAAGGTCATGAAATATTTGTGTTTTTTCTCATTATTATTATTTTTATATCGGGCATTACATCCTCTAGAGTATACTGTACAGCTGTTAAAACTGTGTACAACATTTTGTGTAATGTATGTAGGCCTACAGGTGGGGATAGACAACCTGCACTTTATATTTGCCAAATTATAGAAAAAAATTGCCCACTTTGTCAGTAAATTAGATACTTGTATCCCCTATAAAAATCATTAGGTATTATGAAGTATTGAGTATACTAATGTATTTATCTAATAAGTATTATTGTCATTACTAATATCATCATTTCTATTAATATCTTTACTTTCTCTTCATTTTTATCCTTACCCTAATCCATCTTTATCTTAATTTTTATCTTTACCCTTATCCATCTTTATCTTCATCTTTATTAATATTATTATTTTACTGTGTTTGCTTTAGTTAAGCAACTGTTCTGAAACAGGAAAATGTTACAGCGAGGACATTGGTGTATTTTTGCCCCGTGCAGCGGTATTCACGAAAAGTCTATTTGACAGTCCTTTCGGTCTCATTTACTCAAAATCAGTGCTGCTAATTACAACAATCATGTATGTAGCTATAAACCCTATCTTTTAATGTACTGTAATAAGACGATAGGTAAATATCACAATAAATATCAATTATATTATAGCATTTAGTATATGTAATGACACCTGGCGTTTATTGTCCCTGCATCAGTTAATTAAACGCGCTATTTGTATTTTTAATATGATATAGAGCAATATAAATATAGGAAACGGCTCTATTTACGTTTAACAATAAAAGGGTCCTCCAAACTTTTCTTGCTATTTTTACAGCAGAATAATCCCCAAGAGGAGAAAATGCATATTGACATATTATACGTAGGCATTAGGGCAAATTGAAGACGGTCTTTACGGACGTGAATAAAAAAATACCAGTAAAATGTAGAAAACGGCTAGATTAACGTTTGACAATAAATCGAAAAGGGCTTCCAAGTGTTTTTTTGTGCAGAAATGTGTGTGTGTTAATGTGCATTTGTTTTAAAGAGTCCTTATGTGCGTGGGGTCTTAAAACTTCGACCGACTCCTAGACAAATTTGTCGAGTCAAAGACAGATGGAGCTAATCACACCTAAGTAATGCCAAATAGACTTTGGAGGCCCATTCTGATGTATTGTCAACCGTTAATTGATCCGTTTCCTATATATTTTTCAGCAATTGACGTGCGTCTTCACAGCTGATGCAGTGACAACAAACGTATGGTCACCCAAGTTACAGTTAAATGTATAAAATATGTAAGGTTATCTTAATAATATAAATTAGATTTGTTGAGGTATGTAGTTTAACATATTACTGCAATCAATCATCTTCATAGAGTCTATAATGATGTAAATATTTGTATTAATTAGCTAATTAACTTCTCGTAAATACCGGCCCTCGTGCATCGGATTGATGAAATATATGAAATGAATTCCCTGTTTAGAAAATCATGTGCATAAGTAACTCACTTCAGTTTTTCGTATGGTATCATACGAAATCTGTTTATCTTTGTATCCGCTGCATTACTTGGAATAGTTTGACTTTAACATGAACGGTAACTCCATCTAAAGCCCGGTATTATGATGGACTCAATAGTTATTTAGAGGATGTCTATTACAGCATTCTAAGCTGAGAGTTGATTTATATAATGGTCCATGAAATTCTATTTTAATTCTCTGAATTTTAGTAAGAGGTCAATGTTAAGAGTTCTGAGCCTTCTATTAGAAAAAAAGGTATTTGCTGTTGTGTGTGTTCTCGAATACTGCAACTGTTCAACACATTAATTTGATTGATAACTCATTTAATCCGTTCATGGGTTTCGACATTTAGCAATTCTTCAACTAGGTGTTTCAGTGCATTTAGGAAGTTCAGATACAAACACTAGAAATAGCTTGCATTCGGGGGCCATAGAGCTGGTACTTGAGCCATCTCGGGATTGTGCTCCTTACGTCCGAAGTGCGGGTCCAGGGGCGTCTAGGAGGAATTTGTCAGACTTGCACCGCCATTAGATCATACACACACACACACACACACACACACACACACACACACACACACACACACACACACACACACACACACACACACGCGCGCGCGCGCGCGCACGCACACACATATATATAAACACATACATTTATACATACATATATGTGTGCGTGTATACGTGCGTTTCTTGTATATGTATGCATGGATGGGTGTGCAAATGCAGATATGTGATTCCATTCATTTGTGTCTTAGTTGAAGTGTGCATATATTTTCATCCTCTTTGATTGTAGTGGGCAGCCTTCCAGAAGCCTATGGGACCTGCCACCTCATTGCACACACCCTCTCACTCCCGCACAAATATATATGTGTTTCTTCACGCATCCAGTTTTAATATTTAAAGATCAACCTTTATAGACTTTATGCACAGCATTTATGGTATCATTGAAAACCCTCAGCCTAGCAAAAAGGCGCCATTCATTAATAGTACAATCAGCATTAAGAGGACGCCAATTCTTTTAAAGAACGCGACTAACGATCTTAAAGCTTATATATCACCTAGACACTACTCGGGGTGGCCCCAGCGCCTTTTGCTTCGGTCCATGACTTGGTCAAATATGTCTTATACGTTGGTTCCGAGCCCTTATTAGTTTCAGGGGTAGTTTGTGTACGACAATCAGCTGATCGGTGCATCGCGCAGCCCGTTCACCCTGAGCGGTTTGGGCCAGGGCAGAAAAGCTCGAGTGAACGCAGGGTATTACTCAAACACCAGGTCGAGCGGCTGGGTTTCTGCCGTTCCTGCCTGCTCTTCCTCGGCGGCCCCTACACCTGAATGAGGGTTCCTGGCCAGGCGAGCACATGGCCCTGTCTGTTATTTCTTCCTTTCTACCTGAGTAAATAAATTCTAATAAAAGGTCTAAAAGTCAACCATTAACGTATTAGAACACTATTCACTTCCCATAATTAAATTAAACCGCTTTTCCTCAGCTAACACATCTAACAGCTACTCAGTTACTTTAATAATCAGTCTTCACATACACATCCTCTTTTCATTTTTTCCCTTTAATTACGATAATCTGCCTGGCAACCACCGAGGATGACAGATGACGACATCTTTCGTTTGATGACGGTGACTGACGCGTGCCTGTCATGTCGGATGAAGTGACAGGTAATTACTCCGAGGAAAGACAGGAATTTGCTGTCTTACTTCTCACTCATAATTACCCTGGACAATTTGTAATGTTGTTCTTGTTGATTTATCCACTGTGTCGACAAAATGTATGAGACCAAGAGATACATGTGAGAACGGCTAACCGCTATCTTTTCAGTGATGTGTTTAAAGCAAAAAAATCGAGTGTCGGACAGAAAGAGTTCCTTTACAAAAATAGTTTATGCAATTCTGCCTCAACATCGTTTTCAAACAAAAATGAAAAATCAACATATATATGAACGATATCCATATGCTATAAGATGGACAGGGAGTAAAAATACCAGAGGGATAGATCGAAAAATATAATAATTGCTAGTGTATACATGCAATCGCAAGTGAATACCATATCAGACACCAATATCATTTTGTATTTTTGCAGCAGACACCGACAGCATTTTACAAAATGAAAGCAAATCACATGTCGGAAAATATCCCATAGATTACAATGTCATTCTATCGATGAATCAGAAAATGAGATGCAGCTACACATTTCCAGCGATCAGCTCCTTTCAGGTGAATATACATACATTACATACACACATATATATATGGGGGATATACACGTATGAGTACAAAGGAGCACTTTTTACGCGTCGACCAAAGCCTCGTCGCCAAAGCCGCGTCCTTCAGGAATCTTGTAGAGATCTTCGTTGACGCTGTAGCTGTCCGGCGAGCCCGCGCAGTCCACGTTGTACCACCAGTCGCAAACTCTGAGGGGGGGGGAGATTTCGTCATGTCAGAAGTTCATGTTACACGATGCGAGGGACACGTGCTATCAGTTCTATATCGCCATGAGATATCGATGACGAATAGAGATGCTAACTAAATGCATAATTTAGCCAGGTGAAGTCATGGTGAATGGAAACTGAAGTGAACAAACAAACGCGCTTTCAGAAACAAGTCTTACGCAAAACCAAAATGTGAGAACAGGACACGGATGCTGGCTGTCTGCAGCCTCTTCCCCGACCAGCTGGTGCGCAGCGGCCCTGATACCAGAATGTTCCGGAACATTAATGTAATTATTATGGATCACGCGCTGCGCTCACCTTAACATTGTACTATTAAGTTATTAGTCTCAGAACGGCAGCGAGTGATGGCGCTCGCCAATTACACAATTAAACGAATACGGGGCTTGTGATGATACAGAAAATTTCACAGGCATAAACATTCGATCAAAACACGGTGATAAAAGTATGCACTTCGAAAACGAATCTCGGTAGACCTGCCAAGACTCGTGTTTGAAAGAAGCTGCTCAAGTTAAACATCACAAGGTCCAGTGAACTTACCCAGCCAGATTTGGAGCACTTGTTAAAACGGTAGATCAACATGGACCAAAAAAAGAAGGAAAATAGTAATAAATATATAATTCAGTCAAAATAAACACACGAGCAAGGTGCCATGGCCGGACAGGGAAGAGGCCGTCAAGGTCGAAACTGATAAAACCTTCTTTTTCACGACTGAAATATTTTATTACAGCTCTGTCACGCTTTTCAGGGAGGGTGATTATAAGGTGTAATAATTTCACTTGGGATGGTGATGATAGTAATAACAGTAATGTGAAGGTCGTACTTGGAACAGTGATAGCAATGATATTGGTAGCATTGATATAAGGATAGTCAAAATAATATCAATAACAATATTGATTATAATAATGGTCATTATAAAAATGATGATAATAATAATGATGATAATAATAATAATAATGATAATGATGATGATAAAATGTTGGTAGTGATAATGACAATTATTATCAAATAATTACTATAATAATAATGATTATTATAAAATTGATAACAAAAAATGCCAATAATGACAATGATAGAACAATAAGGATGATGATGATGATTATGATAATGATAAATAATGATGATGATGATAATAATAATAATGATAATGGTGATGATAATAATATTGATAACAGAAATGATGATAATGATAATTATGATTAATAATAATAGAAATAATAAAGCCAGAATGATGAAAAAGATAATAATGAATGTTAAAGTACAGCAACAACAATAATCATAATCACACTCATAATAATAATGATCATAATTATAACAATAACAATGATTATAGTGATGATAATAGCAATGCTGATAATAATGATAATAACAATAATGGCATTAATAACAACAATGGTAATGCTTGTACTAATATTAATACTAGTAATAATGATAAGAAAGATAATAATGATAATACTAATATTCATTATTATTATTATCATGCTGCTGCTGCTGCTGATGATGATGATTATAGTAATACTAATAATGTGAAGGCCGTACTTGGAACAAAAAATGATAATAATAACAATGTCAATAATAATAATAAGAAGAATAATATTAATAATGATAATAATAATAATAGTAGTAGTAGTAGTAGAAGTAGTAGTAATAATGATAATGATAATAATAATAGTAGTAGTAGTAGTAGTAATAATAATAATGATAATAATAATAATAATGATAATAATAATGCCAATAATAACAATAATGATAATGATAATGATAGTAATAATAATAATAATGATAAAAATAATATTAATATTAATAATAATAATAATAATGATAATAATAATAATAATAATAATGATAATAATAATATTATTATTATTAATAATGATAATAATAATAATAACAATAATAATAATAATAGTAAGGATAATAGTAATAATAATAATAATAACAACAGTAATAACAATAGTAGTAGTATTAATAATAATAATAATAGTAATGATAATAATGATAATAATAATAATAATAGTAATGATAATAATGATAATAATAATAATAATAATAATAACAATAATAACAATGATAATAATAATAATAATAATAATAATAATAATAATAATATAACAGGGATAATGATAACAATGATAATAATAGTAATTACTATCCTGATAATGATAATAAAAAACAAGATATAATGATCATAATAATGATAATAATAAAGATAATCATAATAATTATAACAATAATAGTAATAATGCTATTAATAATATTAATAAAATAATGACATCCATAATGAAATAATAGTAATAATAATAATAATAACAATAACAAAAATAACAATAACAATAACAACAATAATAATAATAATAATAAAGATAATAATAATATAGTAATAATAATAATAATCAGTTGTATCAGTTCCAATTGCTCTTTTTTAAGGAAAACCCTACGTTTCCAAGCATCAATGCTGAGATTGTAATGTTTTTAATGTTTTTTACAGAAATTTAATGATTGATATTAGTTGCCAATCACAAGCTTCGTTTAATAATAATGATAATAACAATTACTATTATAATAATAATAATAATAATGATAATAATAATAGATGTTATTATCATTATTATTGCTATTATTATTATTATTATTATTATTATCATTATTATTATTATTATTATCATTATTTTTATTATTATTATTATTATTATCATTATTATTATTATTATCATTATTTTTATTATTATCATTATTATCATTCGTATTATCATTACTGTTATCACCATCATCATTATTATTGTTATTATCATTATCATAATTATTATTATTACTATTATTATTATTATTATTATTATTATTATTATTATTATTACTATTATTATTATTATTATTATTATTATTATTATCATTATTGTCGTCATCATTATTATCATTATCATTGTTATTATTATCATTAATAATAATAATAATAATAATAATAATAATAATAATGATAGAAATAATAATAATAATAATATCATTATTATTATTATTATTATCAATTAATAATAATGATAAGAATTATAATGACAATGATAGGAATAATAATATTGATAATGATAATAATAAGAACAATAATAGTAATGATAATGATGATGATAATAATAATAACAGTGATAAACAATAATGATAATAATGATAAGAAAAAGAACAATAACAATAAAAATAGCAATAACAGTAATGATAAAAATAATGATAACAGCAATAATAATACTTGCAACAACACCTATAATATAAATAATAGTGATGACGATGGTAACACTTGTGACAGAGATAATGATAATTGTATTATTGATAAGGATGAAAGCAATAATTCAAGCAAAATAACAAAAAATGATAACAACAATTGTAATAATCATCAACATTATTCTTATCAAATCAACAATGAAAATTATAATGGTAATAATCATAATATCAATAATGATAGTAGTGATATTACAGTGGTGGTAATAATCACAATAATGATGCAACAGTATTAACAAAAATGATGAGATGACAGCGTACCTGGTTACGAGGATGATGACATTGGAGATACTTAATACAATGCAACGGTGATGATAATGATAATGAAAGTAGTGATAGTGACAATATCCCAATAATGATACTGATAGAAATAATAACATTCATTTTGATTACAACTATAAGCATCATAAAAACTTTAATGCAGAAGGATAACTGACAGGAATAGTAATGATGAAATCATTGCTAATTATAATTACGATGCTTATAGTAGTGGTGATAATACTGACAGTGAGAATAATAGTGATAATGTTATTTAACTGTAACTGTAATAGCAAATGATAATGTTAATAAAACAATAACAAGGAATATAGCAACAATGATAATAATACCGATAGATAACAATTTATCACAATAGTTAGTGTGATTACCGTTATAAATGTTATTGTCATATCAATATCATAATTACTGTTAATGCTACAACTGCGAATATTATCAATCCATTGTTAGCATCATCATTACTTCAGTAATCATTGCCACCACTGACACGGTTATCATCAATATTATCATCATTATCGTTAACACAGTTATTATGCACTATCATGATTAGCGTTTGCATTTTCATTGTTTTAAATATTACTGCCACTATATAATACTACTACCGATGTTATAATAAGACTACACAGATCATTATCAAGATATTTTTTTAACGCAAACGTTACTGATGTAATTATGGCTATTATCATAATCATCATTACTTTCTCAACGCCATCACCATGCCATAATCGTCACCTCCATCACTATCATCAGCATAATTATAATTGTTATCATTATAATTTTTTTCGTTATCATAATTTAGACGATTACCCTTATAATCACCTTTCTAGTCCCAGCCTCAGCCGTCAGTGGCCATGGTTGGAGAGTGAAATCAGGGAAAAAATAGCTTTGGTAATATCCTTTACCTCTCCTGCATTTAACTTTTACTTTCCGCTCGTCTGGTTGGCGGGAAGCAGGCCGCTCGGCGCCACATCGCGCGGAGGGAGGGAGGGAGGGGCACTGGGTGCTCCCGTCTGTGACATTCATTAAACAAGGAGCCGCCGGGGCAACTGTGTGACGGTCATTAATAAGGGAGCCCACCGGGGCGACTGGTTGACCTGACTTCACTTCGGCGATAACAGGACACGCTCTGGAGGGGACACGCCTGCGGAGACCAGCGGGGTTCCCACGCCCTGGTCAAAAGCTAGGGGAGGAGCGACCCAGTCTGACCCGAAGGAGGCAGAACGAGTCCGACCCTTGAACCGCACGCACCTTTTCCCCTTCGCCCGTAGGAGCTGACGCCGCCGTCCGCCACGACTCCCACTTACATACCTCCGCCTACGTGTCTGTTTCTCAATAAAGCTGTTAAACAGATATTGAGTTTTCCTCTGAACCTCCAGATAATATAGTGGCTTTCGTGTACATTTGAATTAGAGACCATTATACCGTCTTCCTCCGCGCGTTATTGTGTGTGTGTGTGCGTGCGTGTGCGTGCGTGAGTGTGATGTGTGTGTTTGTGTGTGTACGTGCGTGCGTGTGCGTGTGCGTACGTGCGTGTGCGTGCGTACGTGCGTGTGCGTGCGTACGCGTGTGTGTGCGTGCGTGTGCGTCCGTACGCTTGTGTGTGCGTGTGCGTGCGTACGCGTGTGTGTGCGTGCGTGTGCGTGCGTACGCGTGTGTGTGCGTGCGTGTGCGTATGTGTGTGTGTGTGTGTGTGTGTGTGCGTGTGTGCGTGTGTGTGTGTGTGTGTGCGTGCGTGTGATGTGTGTGTGTGTGTGTTTGTGCGTGTGTGCATGTGCGCGTGTGTGTGTGTGTGCGTGTGCATGCGTACGTGCGTGCGTGTGTGAGCGTGTATGTTAGCCATTCGAACTGTAGGCCTAAACATATTTGGATCTCCAAGGTTTATCATCAAGTAATCTGATTTTGTAAGATCGAAACACCATGAAGCATAAAATTCATCAACCAAGAAAACAGACCGAAACATAAAGGATAAATTAAATGTTTAACGTCATGATTAGTAAAGAATCTTCTGTTTTACCTCTCCATCAGCTGCGTTCAGAACTGATTTAATAAATATCGGAAAATAGTTTGATGCTGAATCAGAATGACGAAATTTCAAACCTTGCGTTTCTCCCAATGAAAATAATCCTGTATGATTTTTTTTTTTTACAATGTCACATCCAGCCCGCGGTCTCTTAAACAGATTCCTAAATAGATTCTAACCTAACTCGGGATCAGCTGAACGGCCCTGACCAAGCCCCTTCGTGGACTACTAAAACCCTAGCGGAAATAATACTCGTTATTACATGTAATTTTCGTGGCCTGTCGTTGAGATAGTGAGGCCAAGCATGAGCCGAGATTTATGTGATTTGACTGTCTTTCGGAGGTGATGCTTCTGGTAAAAAAAAAAGGGAAAGGGCATCGCTTTTAGTGCTTCGTTTTTACACTGTTACATAATGTGTTTGTTTGCTGTTGACATCATTGCTGTTGTGGTTATTAGATATTGTTGTCATTATTAGTATTGTTATTTTACTACTCTCATTATCACCATCATCATCATTATTTTTTAATTGTTATTATTGTTATTATTATCATTATTATTGTTATTATGATTATCATTATCATTATTATTATTATTATTATTATTATTATCATTATTATTATTATTATTATTATTATTATTATTATTATTATTATTATTATTATTATTATTATTATTATTATCATTATTATTATTATTATCATTATTGTTATTATTATTATCATTATTATCATTATCATTATTATTATCTATTATTATTATATTATTATTATTATTATTATTATTATTATTATTATTATTATTATTATTGCTATTATCATTATTATTGTTTTACCGTCGCTCTTTTTATTATCAGCATTATTATCATTATCATTATTAGTATCATTATTATTATTATTATCATTATTGTCATTATTACTATTATTATCATTATTATTATTATCATTATTATTATCATTATTATTACTATTATTATTATTATTATTATTATTGTTGTTGTTGTTGTTATTACTACCAACATTCATTATTTTTATCATCACTAATATTATCAAGATTCTTATTATTGTTAATATCATCATCATCATCACTGTCGTCATCATCCTTACCATCCGAGTCGTTTCCATCATTATCTTCACTGTTATCATTGTCACTATTATCATCCATCCAGTAATCATCATCACACTGTTTATGTTGCCTGTTCTCTCTCTCTTGTACACACACACACACACACACACACACACACACACACACACACACACACACACACACACACACACACACACACACACACACAAAGCGTCACTCACCTGTACAGCTGGTTGAAGAGCGTCATGTTGGGGCAGAGGAACGAGTACCTCTGGCCGCCGGGCACGCACCAGTGCCACACCTGCCGCGGAAACAGGGGTTAGGAGCCTTCAGTAAGTATCCTCGTAGAGACGTGTGGTTTCATTTGCTATCCTAAACCTAATCTAACCTTATCTAATCTAAATTATATTTA